ATCTCATAAACACAGATACACCTATCTCATTTTTGAAACATACCATAAACTTTATCCTACTTTACGTACACAAAAACACCGAGCGCATCTCTCAAATATTATATTAGATTAAAATCAAATACACAAAAAATATCCATCTTATTTCTCAAATATAAACTAAGTTTGAACCTTCTTCACAAATACGGAATCATCCGTCTCATATCTAAAACAATACACAATATTAAACCTCACATATACAGAAACCTCTAGTCAATCTCGGAATCATACAGTTCGTATGCTATAGCTATTCTAATGCACTGCAACGAGAACAGAATGTAAAGATANAGATAAGTCGAAGTTTGAAAGGAAATGCAGACAACCTGGTTTGCTTCTTGTTATGTTTAAAAAGTACTTACTTGATATTCTTTTCTTTACATACCAAGCCACACCAAGCAGCAGCAGCACAACTATCGGAATAACAATGGCGGCAATAATTCCTCCTGAAAGTCTGAAAATAAATATATATATATTTGAATTTTGAAGTTTGAAGCCAGTACGCAGTGGAAATCTTGATCAATGACTAAACTGAAGTCTTAGAATGAGGGGTTCCGGCATACTCTTATATAAGTAACTTGAGTAACATCGACCAATATCTGAATTTTGACCAATCAAAAGCCAGTCCTTTGTGGCCTTCTTATTAAATGACGTAACGGAAATCACGTTATAGTTCGCAGTGTTATAGTTTACCTTAATAAAGAACAAATGAACGCAAAATCAACTTGATTCGGTACTCAGGAGCTTACTCCGAATATCACGACTTTGGTGATCGACTTTGAAATATTGATTGTTTAATTCAAAAGTGTGTATCTTTATTACTTATATATTGGAATATAGTAAATTAATTTAATGAGGTCGTTATATCTTCATACTGAATTCAGCAAAATGCTTAAGTCATGTAATATTTTTTATTGTTATTTATGATATCAGGGACTCGATTTGTTAATACGAACAATCAGATTTCTTGCTTTTGTATGATCTATACTCTATGATAGATATGATGAAATATTAAAAAAGACGAACGCATGTTTATATGAGAGATAGGGTTTTGTGTTAATTATACCGTTCGTTATTTCTGTCTCATTGCAAATAATCTTGTCTTGAAATCGTATTTGAATGATGTACATATGTTGATATAACATTTACGCGTATTTCACAATTACCCGGTATCTTCTTCGTCACCGCCCGGTTTGATGGTCGTCTGTCTTGATTTTGTCAAGGATGTTTGCTCCTTTGTCGTCTGCGGACTCGAATGAACTGGAGTACTTGAAACATTTGGCATTTTTGTAGATTTAATTGAAGACATTTCTTCTGTTGTAGTTGTAATTTTCGTCGTCGTCGTTGTTGTCGGTGTCGACGTCGTTGAGCGTCTAAAATGATACATTAATACACTTTTTTACTTTTTTACTTTAATTGGTCTACATTTTGTAAAGTTGGATGCTATGATCGATTGAGCTACCGGCTCCCTGATCGTCCACTAGGTCTACTATTAAGTATCTAATTATATTTGATGATGCGGTGTTTGTTTACCTGTCACAGCCACAGTTAACACGTAACAGTGGAGCGGAGTAGGAGCAATGCCCATATCTACATTTGCACGGATCATGGCCACAGAAGTTTCGAGTTACGTCACACTTGCAGTACACCACGTGCTGACCAGCACAATAGTTAGGATACAGGCTTCTGGTTGCATCTGAAATTAATAAAAAAAGAACAAGAGAACCAATGGGCCTGCATCGCTCACCTGGTATAAATCTCATACTTGTAACATTAAAAGTGATCTAAAATAAAGCGACAGGCAAATTAAGTCATTATGTTGAACAAATTTTATAGCCTTTTATCTCAGGATGCAACTTGCAATGTATCAACATCCTGGGACCCAATATTATTCAGAAGAGGTCGTTTAAAGATTTTAAACAAATTTGACCCCTGTGACCTTGAATATAAGTCAATGTCATTCACTTTATCAAACATAGTGTTCCTTGATCCTAGTTTGCTACTGACTAAATATCATTACCCTGGGCAGTTTGGTTATCGAGAAGAAGATGTTTAAAGTTTTTAACATGTTTGACCCCTGTGACCTTGAATATGGGTGAAGGTCATTTATTTGAACAAACTTTGTAGCCCATTATCTAAGCATGCTACTGGCCAAATATCATTACTCTGGGCATTTTGGTTATTGAGAAAAAGTTGTTTAAAGTTTTTCACATATTTGACCCCTGTGACCTTGAATATGGGTGAAGGTCATTCATTTGAACAAACTTGTTACCCTTCATCTCAGCATGCTACTAGCCTAATATCATCTCCCTGTGCATTTTCGTTATTCAGAAGAAGTTGTTTAATGTTTTTCACATATTTGACCCCTGTGACCTTGAATATAGGTGAAGGTCATTCATTTTTATGCAAACTTGATAGCCCTTTACCCCAGCATGCTACTGACCAAATATCATCACCCTGGGCATTTTGGTTATTGAGAAGAAGTTGTTTAATGTTTTTCACATATTTGACCCCTGTGACCTTGAATATAGATGAAGGTCATTCATTTTTATACAAACTTGATAGCCCTTTACCCCAGCATGCTACTGGCCAAATATCATCACCCTGGGCGTTTTTGTTATTGAGAAGAAGTTGTTTAACGTTTTTAACATTTTTTACCCCTGTGACCTTGAATATGGGTGAAGGTCATTCATTTGAACAAACTT